CCTCACCTGCGAGCAGAGCCGGGCAAGGGCGCGTCCCCTTCCCTGCCGTGCGGAGCCCGCTGCGCCTGTCACCTCGTCTGCAACGAGTTCTGGGCTCGCGGGCTAATCCTGCCCAGCGCAGGTATAAGGGCTCGCTCCTCCTCTGGTTTAAGCTTGTGTGAATGCCAAGCATCCCTGGATTTACCTACACGTGTGCTGGGAGAGGGTTACACAGCCCCGCTGGTGTTCCTCTTCCCTCTCTTAGCTGGGGCACCCGGCTTCACCTTCGGGACCCACTTAACCTTTTGCAAAATAACGATTCCTAGCCCCATCTCGTAACCATGTGCGGGAAAAATCTCCCTTTTGCTTGCTTGGGACTTCCTCCCCATCGGGGAACCGCGCTTGCCCCTTGCAAAATCTTTTATTGAGGAGAAACAACCATGCCACTTGCGAAGTATCAGCCGCAGGCGCCTCGCCGGGATTGCAAGGAGCAGCGGGCTCCGGCGGGGCAGGGTGGGGATGTCTCTCTGCTTGGCGGGTTTCAAGGCATGCTTCGCAGCCCGGAGTTCAGCAAACATCTCGCCCCCTGCGATGAGGCAGTGGGTGGGGGGATGGCTGATCAGAGCTGCCTCCGATCGGCAGCTCTGCAGTTCCCAAACCTCCCAGGGGAAGAGAGCGGGGAGCAGGGCAGAGCAGCCGGCTGAGCTCGACGGCTTTTCCAAAACCTCCTCGCGCCTGGAGCTTTGATGCCAGGGATGGAGCCAGCTCTGGAGAAACCCACAGGGGAGAGTAGGCACAAGTGCAATGGAGCGTCCCCTCTCGCCCCCATCCTTCCCAGGCAAGGTGTTCCCCTGTGGCAAACCCCTGGTTTTCAGCGGCACCTGAGTGATTTTTTCTTTCTTTCTTTCCTTTTTGTTTTTCTTCTTCTTCTTCTCTTCGCTTTGCCCGATTTTTTTCCCCTTGTTGCGGTCTTGGTGTTGACCGCAGTGAACGATTAGGGAGTGAGGGCTGTGACTACCGCCGGGATGCATCGGGCTCAGAGGG